GATGTTTCTTCTGCCTGCTTACATTAAAAGAAGTGATGGGAGAACATAATTGATAATAGATTATTTTTTTTTAAGCTCATTTTTGAAGAGAAACCAATCAGATGAATTCAGAAAGAACAGAACAAAACGTATGCAGATTCCTCAGTGAATATGTTATCTGCAGCCTCGTAAAGGAATCCTCTTCATTAATGGAGGGAGCAGCAGCCCAAATCAGACAGAATAATAGTGATAAAAGGACATTACTCTGGTAGGAGAAATTACTTCCCTCCGCAGAAAGAAATGAAATGGTGTGAAATGTTTACAGCGGCCCCGAATAGTACTTAGCAAAGATTTTAGTTCCTATGGCACGGTAGTAAGGTAGAGGAATATAGACTAGAATTTTCAACTTATCATGATATGTTTATGTAAAAATTGTTTCTTCAGGTAAATATGTTTGAATGAGCTGCTGTTATAGATGCTGTGTCCTGTCACCACTTTCCCCCCACACTGGTATTTGGCAGGAAGCAAGGAATGCAAAAGAACAACAGTTGCAGAGAAATTGTCAGCCTCTGAGGGATATCTTTTGGCTTCTTTATTTTTCTAGCTTCCTTTTTCCAAGGTGAGAGGATTCTCTGTTGGGCAGGAGTCAACACTTAATTTGATGTCACCATGGAAAACAGATCTGTTTATTTTTGTCTGGTCTTTAGGGATGTGATGTTTCTGCATAAAGAGATTCTTCTTCTCTCCATTTACTCTTCCCCCACCCCTCCTCCTCAAGAAGGTGGCCTTCTCTTCATACAGATCCATAAGGGCTACCGAGTCTAAGTGTCATCTCAGCATTTTCTCTAAGGCATGATGGTGTCAGACAGACAGTACTTCAGAAAAGAACTGCCATTTCACATCTTAAGTGTACTGGTGTACTCCCATGCTTCCACCAGTGGTACTAGTGCGAGTAGGCAGCATTGCAAGTAATGTCTCACAACATAAAAAGTGTGGCCTTTTTTTTTTAGGAGGGGAGCAGGGAATTGAGAACAGATATGTGAGGTAACAAAAATGAAGTTAAAATGTGTTTAGCAAAAAGTTATCAGAATATGGCTCTTGTAATATGATGATGAGATAAACCTGTTCCCTATAATTGTAGTGACACAATGGGGAACTTTATGAAAACTGAGGCCTTTTCAGGATAATTAAATAAGTTAATTTGCAATCTGGAAAAAGCACCAGCTGGAGTGTAATGATTCATTGAAGTCTCAGAGTACTGCTCCTTCCATGGGTAACAGGTCTGTTTTGGTTGTGGAAGCTTTCTGCCTTTGAAAGCAGATGCTGTCTGTTTTATCAGATGACATTGCTACAGCTGTTCTAAGCACATACTTGGGGCAAAGGAACCCAAGAAGCATCCTTTTCTTTCCAGGTTTCTGTATAAGGAACACAGAGGCAAAACCAACCCAATCGTGCCAGCAAAAGAGAGGGTTTGTTACTGTTTTATAAATTCCCTGTATATAGTAAGTTCCTGATAAGATCCGTAGTGATTTTTAGGAATAAGTTTCATAAAAGGAAATGGGATTCATAATATAGTGTAGATTAATTTCCTTTCTTCTGGGTAACACAGTAATAGTTTTGGGGAAAACTGGAACCTATATGGTAAAAACAGGTTAAGAAGTGTGTCTGTGGCAATTAGGATCCTCTTGCCTAGAAGTCTACTGTAGGGAGCTAAGGATCAGTCAGATTTTTCTTGGAAATAGAGAATCACAGTATAGTTGAGGTTGGAAGGGACCACTGGAGGTTGTCTTGTCCAACCCCCTTGTCAAGCAGGGCCACCTAAAGCCAGGTGCGGGACCATGTCCAGACAGCTTCTGAATATCTCTTAAGAATGGAGGTTCCGCAACCTTTTTGGGCAACCTTAACCTAACTCAGATTTGAGTTCCCCAAGCAGATCTTTGTTTGTGGGCTTCTGGGTATATAAACAGAAACCTCAAATATTTATACCATATTGACTCAAGAAAAGAGATCTCATATTCAAGAAAAGAGATCTTTTTAGGAATGCTCACCCTAGTTGGTTTCTTAGGGAGTCCACCTCATTTCAGCCTTCAGCTCATTACAGTTGCACCCAGATCATTGCTGTCTGCATTGGCTGGTAATGCTTGTGTCTTAGGGAAGCTCAGTTTGTTTGATGATGCAAAGCGTTTTTAGTAAGACGTAGTATTTCCAGTTCAGTACTACCAGTTCAGATAGGTAGCCTTCATAGGTAACACTGACTCAATTAATATCTTGGAATATCCGCTATCTAGCTTAGAACTCAAATTTCAGTCCTCTCATTGGGATGGTCAATATTGTAAAGCATATGTTAATTTTTTTGTTGTGAAAGCTGCTTGATGAGCATTAAGTGACCCAAATTTGTGCGTTCATCATCTGATTATCAATCCTTCCATATCTTTACTGCAAGTATTCTTTATTTGGCTTAAACTATAGAAAATTTGTGCCATTTTCTACAGAAATCTCCTAAGAATGAATGTTTATATCCTCAAAATCCTCCTCAGGTCTTACTGAATTCTGAAGATTTAGATGCTTTCTGTAAGCAAAATCCCTAACAAATTGAAGTATATCTTTCTAATCCTTCCAAAAGCATTTAAATCCTGTCACTGAACAATTAATTTGAGAATTTTAGTTACTCAGTCCTATATTAATTTCTATTATTCCTAAATGGGACAAAGTATGTCAGCTTGAAATACCTTAGCTTTAAATAGAAGAGCTTTCTTTTCCAAACTGGTTATAAAAAAACCCCATGCAAATACAGAAGCAAAGTGTGGGATACATGGCTTCTAAAATGTCTTCATTTGGAGTATCTTGAAAGCTCTGTATTATTTTTTCATTATTATTTCAAAATATTCAAATATGTGAGACAGTATTTCTTTGCTTTGATATATACAGAAGTTTGGCTTGATTGCAGATCAGGACAAGAATGGTGTGCTAAACACATAGGACTTCATGAGGGAGGAGAGTTATTTTTTCTCAACCAGCCAGCTTGGTTAGGAACAAAACCAGGAGAATAGAGACAGGCTTACACATGAAGAAAAGGTAAAGAAAACAGCTAATATGTGTGAGGAGAATTTTTTTTAATTTTTTTTTTTTTTAAAGAAAAGAATAACGATGCATCGTTCATGGGAAAGTGCACTTGCAACAAACCAGTCGACGAATATTAAATTAAGAGTAACTGCGTCCTGAAGAGTGGAGAAGTGAACACGATCAGAAAAATATGAATAATTTCACCTAGGTTTTCATTTCCTTTCGGAAGTTATTGACTGAACACCTGCTTGGAAAGCAGAATGCAGTATCACCGAAGAGGTTTCTAAGATTGTCTCATTTTCAGTTGTCTTTTTTTTTTTTTTTTTTTTTTTTCTTTTTGAAGTGGAACTGAGCTTATCAATTGGAACTGAGTTTTAAGAGAGCTTTACATGTATAATGTCATTGGTTTTGATTTTCAAGTGATAAACCATATGTGTGCTCACAAAGTGAGAGACTATAAACAATTCCTAATGCTTGAAACAGAAGTAGCTTTTTCTTTGTGGAATTCGAATCATCGTTTTTTTTCTTAGATCTGCCACCTTCAAGCCTGTTTTCTATTCTACAATCCCTGTTGGTGCTGTAACTGCAGGTATATAAAGTTTTTCAAAAGATTTCAAGGCCATTTTACGATTCTGCAGCAATTTCATCTGTTGGAGATCCTTCTGTTTTTAAATTTTGAACTACATATAGCATGTGGCCTTCCTCATTCAGTCTGGCACACATGTCTGAGAAAGCATCTTCCACCATCTGTGCTGCTGCTGCGTGGATATTGCAGATGCTGCCTCTCTTACTCCGTGTTGGGTAGGACCAGAAGCTGGGTCATTCCCTTGTCTCTTCACAGCTCTCAGAATCTGTGTGACCATACTGCTGGAAACAGGCATTTGGGAGACAAAAGGTGTTTTCCTGTCCTGATGAAGCAACTGTCTCTTCCGCCTCCCTTTCTTGTCCCTGAACTGAGTGTCGGTGTCTGTATTAAAGTGGCTGTTCAGCTGTGACAGAATTCATTTGGGAGATAGGATGGACTTTGGTGTTTGCCAGACCTCTGCTTCCTCAGGACTAGCTGAAGACTCCACACTCTAATATTAAGACTGATTTTCATTTCGCTCCACTAAATAAAACCCTCTGCTTTCTGTGTCCCACAACAGTATGTGCGTTTGAGTTCTTATGCTTCACAGAAGTGCTTACAAACTTTGCTTATGTACTGTAGACAGTATGCAAGTCATTCCTTCGTTCCTTGAACAACTGCTGCTTTTCAGGCCAGACACTTTCTGTGGTGGTGGGTATGTGTAGAGGGATGTCGGTTCTTCAGCCTTTGCACCCCAAGGCTGTTCTTGTGACCCTATCATGCTTTGTTTGGGGAGCACACAATTCTGATTTTCAGCTCAGGATCTTAACGTAGTAAGGAGCTAAAGTCCTAAATAGGAATTAAATTTCTTGAATCTGATGTGATGTATTTAAGGAGGATGTAAAATTGCACATGACCAGATATTTCATTAACATTTTCATTTCATTTATATTTCATAAAGTCATTATAAAATTTTGTGGTTAGTTTATCATGCACACTAAATTTTTGTATTTCTTATTCCAGTATATTTATAGTCAAATGTTCTTGAAATTACTGTTTAAAGATGATTGTTAGTGTGAGGCTGGCTTAATGCTGTCTTTTTTTTTTTTTTTTGTACTTGATAACTACATGGTCTGTACATCAAGACTGCTTTCTCATTTAAATAGTAGGTAGGTACAAAGTGATTAGTTTACCTTCTTTCAAGAATTAAACGATAAATGGGAAGTTCTTGGGGAGAAAGCATACATATATGTATTATGTGATTTTTTTTTTTTTTTTTTTTTTTTTTTTTTTTTTTTTTCGTGGAAGCAGAAGAAGAAAGATTACACAACGCTTTCCATAAGCATGTATTTAAGTATTACACAAACATAACTTTTTCACATTTGTGTTTCAGGAAAACCAGATGCCTCTGCTGAAACTCTTCTGGATCAGGAATGTATAAACTCTGTGAGTTACTCAAGCCAGCTAGAAGACTCTGGGTGTGATGTCTCTAATGACTATGCATTCGATTCTTTAGGCATAGCTTCTGATTTTCATCAATCTGAGCATACTGCTGACACTTCTAAACATTGGTTGGAAAGAGTTCCCCCACTGAATCTTTGCTGTACTAGCAAGGAGGAATCTCTGGCTGCTCCAGTGCAGTTTTTGCAACATCTGCTTGAAATAAGAAAACTGTCAGAAGGAGGAATTCTTCAAGCAGACTTCACAGAGCTTGAGAATGATTCTTTCACCATCTGCAATTCAGTGTCTCAGTTGCTTGATGGACTGACTGTTTTTTACAACAGTCCTAAATTTCCAGTTTCGAATTTTCTTACTGAAGCAGTTTGCGTTTTGATCCGTTTAATAACTGATACTAAATTATCTAATCATGTTTTGAAGAAGTGTTTCAAGAAGCTGGAAGAATTTAAGAAACATCTAATTCAGATTGTTTTAAGAAACAGCAGTGTCAATAGGGTAAGTTTAAAACATCTTCAATCTTTCCTATGCCATTTCAGATACTGTAATATTCTCCTGTTTTTATGCACTTTTTTGGTATTAGTTTGTCTTGCTGTATTTTGAAGAGTACTTCTCAGAGATTTTTGTGCCTGTTGTTTGGTTTGGTTTTTTTTTTTGGTGATATGGACAATAAATGCCCTAAAGCAATTGAAAAAGTTCTTGGTCATGTATGCAAGTTCTTCTAGTCTATTCCTGAGTATAGGACTTTTAAAAACTGTTTAAAAGGCAGATTAAAACAACTGTATAGAAAGCATAAGAGAAAAACACTCTGTTTCTCTTGCTATATGAGTATTTTAGATATTCAAAAAGTAATGACTATAAAATATTTTTATTCTTTCTTGTGTGCCTAGATTAAATAGGTTGGTTTGCTTCAGATCTCTGTAACTCTCTAGACATTTGCAAATTTGTGTTTTAAAAATAAATCAGCAAATGAGTGAAGAATTCAGAAATAACATGTCCCCAGCACAAACAGCAAATAGGCCTGAATTGCATTTTGTCTGTATTCATCATTCTGCATTGTTCCATGCATCATCTCCTTAGTTTCCTCATTCAACTGAAATATCTTTAGTCTGTCTTCACAAGACTTCCCATAAGTAATGAAGTCCATTGTCTGTCTTAGGATTTTTGGTTTTCATTCTGTCTTTAGAGTAACTTGGAACAGACACAATGGTGCAGTTGTTTGAGACTTAGATGTACCAATTTAGTGTCCGCATGCATGTAACTCCACAACCATTTCAGTAACTGAAGATCGTATCCCTATAATCCATGGAGCCTAGAGAGTGCTGACCAGGTACTAGGTCCCTATTTTGGCATGAGCTCTAAAGTTGCCTTTAGCAAAATGATAGCCTGGACATCGGTACACCTGTGGACAGATGTACCCATTTGTCTTAATTTAAAATTAATCCCACTCCCGGTGTATTGAGTATTTACCCCAGAAAGTAACATTTGTTTGATATTTATTACCAAACTAAGCGGGGTGAGTGGGTGTGTATGGATATGCCTGTATTTTGGTTAGAAAGCATTCAGAAGGATCTCTTCACTGAAGAGTGCTGAAGATATTCCAGGACTAGATCCTTGTGTCCCTAATTCAGGGTGCTTTCTATTTCTCAGTTTCACCATGATGTGATACTTAGTTTTTAATTAGAGGTGTCCCTGGCCAGTGTTTTGAAAGGATATGAGCATACATACCCTTTTGTGGTGTCAGGAATAGTGTCATGCAGGTGTGACTCCTTTTATTTTTTGTGTGCAATTGCAGGATACAGAACAAAGAAAACTCCAGCAGGCATTCATAAAGGACTTCTTCATAGTTGATGATGTCCAGTGTTTCCATCTGTTCTGCTCCTCTACCTGAATGGGAAGTTAATAAATAAATAAAATAATCTTAATTTTAGGAGAGCAACCAAGAGGTTATCCAGAGAGGGATTACTTGTTGATTGGAGGAACCTGGTAAAGCTTATGTGAGAGGTGTCACATCTTAAATGAGAGAAAATATCCTGATAGATCAGGGATGTTTCAAGTCTGCAAAGTGCTTTTATAAATCATTCAGGAAAGGTGGAGTGTGTCCACATAATTTGCAAGTGGGATCTTTTCTCTGAATGACTTCACTGAAACAGATGGCTTTTTATGAGATGTTTTATGTCTTGCTTCCACCAAAATATTGACTTAAGTCGTTCCTATCGGCAACCTTCAATCAAACAGACTCAAAGAGTTTAAAAATTGTATAAACCAATAGTTGTGGTAGTTTCCAGATTTCTAGGGAAAAAGGGAAAATGTATGTAGTAATTTCGATGTTTATAAAGATTTATTGAAAAATCCTTTTTAGAGGTTTGATTTTCTTTAAACTAAATTGAATATGGAAATAAATATGTAGAATACAGAATTAGTAGTGGAAATTATATAACTAATTCTTCATGTGCTGTGTACCAGATATCTCCCAGGGACACTTTATGCTTCAGTTTTAATCATCACTGTTTACTCAAGTGGTGATTGAAATATCAAGATTATAGGTTTAAAATAAAA